AAAAAAAAAAAAAAAAAAAAAAAAAAAAAAAAAATAGCAGTTAAACGAATACGGGGCGCGTACGTAATCTAGTTAAATGTCGGAAAGGAAAATAATGGAGTACGTAATAATGGAGATTTTCGAGAGTGGTTTACTCGACAACTTGTTCTCTTCGATCTGTTGATTGCTCACCTCATCCGCTCACCATCGTGTTTATATAAGATCGTTTTGTTTGTTTATTTTTTATTAAAGAAACATCGTATCAACAGGTATTCCCAATTGTGTACGTTTCTTTACATGAAGGCATGCGATCTTTGTTATTCCTTTTACGCGCGATCGGTCGGGATCGATCAACGTGTCTCGAATCGTTCGTTGACAAGGCCGATGGCCGCCGTTGGTTCTAAATCTGTAAATCTATAAAGTTCCTCAGAGAAATCATTAGTGATTTGAAAAGAATGCTATCGCTGTGTAGTAACCCTGTTTTTCAAATATAAGGGAACGCGTGTTTGTCCAAATAAACGTGGATGATAGTGTCGGCGATCTTTATTTGTAGAAATGTGCAATCATTTTATTATGCGTGCACGCAACAGGATTAATTGAATTCTAGTCGTGAAGAATAATGACTTATATATTAGGAAAGAAATGTATCGAACGGAGAATTCAATTTAAATTAAATAGAATTGTACAAAGGTAACGTAACGTTACTTTTTCAATGTTATTTATTGCAATTTGTCAATGGCAATTCTCATTATTGTATTTTCCGAAGAAAGACTATACTTGGGTTACGAGTAAATTCTACTCTCTGGCTATATATTATAATTTATCGACTCACTTTCCCTTGGGTGAATAATTCCATCCACGTCGCCGGAGAATGTATATATATATATATATATAAGTGCAACGTAAACGAGAACAGAAGCAAAAGTGAAAGTTAAATTACAAGAAGAATAAATAGGCATATACAGGCATCGCGGCTGCGTAGAAATATCAACTTAAATAGCGACCGGTATTATCAATCGGTTACGATACACTTTGTTCTCTTGCTTTGTCGTGCCTACGTACACTGTGGTGTAAAGACGTTTGGGAAAATAAAGTAGCGCGCGCGCGCGCGCGTGCATATCGTTTAACGATGTTGACCTTTGACAGACTCTCTAATCGCCCATTTTTATTTTAAGCTAACAACACGAGTTGTTCTCACGAGTTGAATAAAATGGAAAAAAAGAAAGGGAACAAGAAAGAAGAAGAAGAAGAAGAAGAAGAAGAAGAAGAAGAGGAGAATTGAACTGTATACACATTACTGTGTAAATGCTAATACTTTGCCAATTTCCTCGACAGTTGGTTTAGCAGAGGCGGATGCAGCGAGATGGAATTGTCATGAAATGTATCGTTTATCAAGAGTTGCCAATGAGACACTCGTTTTCACGATAATCGATAAAGATTATCCTACGCGAGAGATTTATATTTTTCTGAACAACAACAATAATAATAATACAATTGGCAGTATG